TTTGCTTGAAACTCCACTTTTTGAAACTTACTATCAAATTTACGATTTTTAAAATTATTTTTTTATTTGATAAAACTCTACACCTCCGAATTAACTCAGGACCTTACTGATGAATCCCAGCCGTTCCCAGCCACTTTATCTCTGAGATAAAAAGAGGCCCTCACAAAAAAAAAAAAAGAAAAAAAACTGTGCGATCAAAAATGATTTTTTCTAATTTTGAAAGAATAATACAGGTGTAATTACTGTTATTTCTTTTTTCTTTCAGTCGTTGAAGTCCATCACGGCGATCTGGGAGTGGCGGATAATGAAACTCAAGATATCACACACACACACGCGCACACACACATGCACACACACACACACATGCACACACACACATACACACACATACGCACAAACACACACACACACGCACACACACACATTCTACCAACGGTTAACTTAGCTATGCACCCTAACTATGTGCTGATGTGTTATTATTTCTAGTTCGCCCGGAAAGCAATCATTGTCAATCTTCTCCCCTCGAAAAACAACCCTAAGATCGCTCGACATATTTCGAAGCACTAGAATCTCCAAAAATAACCGTTTGGAGCCGGGAAAAGACTTTATGATGATGCTAAAACTGAATCTTTACTGACCATAACAACATGTTGCACAGTAAACCAAACCCCGAAAGGTGCAATCCCTAGCAATCATAGTGCTGACTTTCAAAAAATACTGAAGAAGGATGATCAAACTCCACCAATCCAAAGCTAAAACCAAAAAATATAAAACAAGCATAACAATGCTACAAACCGCTTCAGGTTCACGACCCGCAGCCAGTCGATCCCTGCAAAACTCCACCACTTCCTGATTCGACATCACATCCCATATACCATCACAAGCCAGTATGATGAACTCGTGATTATACGTCAAATCACGCACAGTAACATCGGGACACGCTGGAAATAAAAGCTCAGCTTATAACAGAAAACAGTTAAGAAACAGGGGAAATACCGGCACTTAGTCGGCTCATATCACCTCAGCACAGCAAAGAGCCGCTGCCGGCCAAAACAATCCTCTTTTCTGCAAGTCGTTAAAAGAAAGACGGAAACAACCTACTTTTTAGCACGTTAGATATGCTAGTATCGATCGATCTTCAAAACAAAATAAAAAAACCGCCGAAAGGGAAAGAAGAGGAGGGCTTCTGCAGTAGCCCATTCAAAATAACGACTTGAGCCCGAAAGCACCAACCAACTGCCAAATTACGAGAAACTCAACAGCGATGAAGAGCATTCGTATGAATACTACAGAAAGGATAAAAGAAAGAAGATAAGAAAAATGTAAGATGAGTGGAAAAGAAAAAATGTCGAAAAGAGTCGAAATATCACATCCTGATGGATATAATACTTCTAACCTTCGCTACATTTTTTCTTTTCCACTTACTTTTCACTGCGCTACGTCAGCCAGTGATTAGTTTCGCTAAAGTACGAGTCGAAAAACGTCGAAATCTTAGAACAGAAGCCGATTTCGCTGAACAAATCTGTACATACGCCACAAAAATGGAGTTCAAACGAAACCATTTTGGTCGATTTCGCTGATATGCCAGAAAACTGGGATTGAAATCAAGCCACTTTAGCCGATTTCGCTGACCAAATCTGTACACTTGTCAGAAAATTAGAGTTTATCACAAATTGTGATGAGATGAGCAGGTAAAAGTACGAGTCAGGACAGATTAAAAACTTCAGGACGAGAAAAGTGTTACTAAAACACTTCAGAACTTCCTCAACTTCCACCCTTCTTCTTCTACCGTCTCTCACCATTAGGAACCAAACGTATTTATAGTCTATTCGGACGTCTAAGAAATCAAGCCAAGAAAAAAAAGTAACAGGTTTACATTCCAAAAACTAAGAATTTAAAAATCGAGAATCAGGTACTGGAAAGACTAAAACTGGGAAACAACACAGCGAAACATGAAAGAATCCCACTGACAGCATACCAGTGACGATCTGCTCCTCGGGAGGCTTCTGATCATTCTTTTTGAATGCAAAATCGCCGAGAGCCCGCGATAGTGCTAGGTTACCATTGACACGATTGAATTCTACCCAGCCACCGGCTGCAATGATTCGCCTCGCTTCGTTCTCATTCGCTGGCTTATGATCAAAACTGAGCGGTAACGCTGTGCCACAGACACTGGCAACTGCTCTCGAATCGCCAACATTG